CCAGGGCGCCGGGCGCCCCCGATCCCGCTCAGGGTCTGTTCTGCTGCTACGTGGCAAGGCCCTGGCGCACAGTGAAACCTGAGACTCGCGGAGCAGGCGCTGCTTTCCCTGACGCCGACTTTGGACAGCGGGTCCGGACCTCTCCCAGAGGCTGGATGGGCGCCCCGCCCCCCCCACCCCCCCTCCAGCTCAGCCTCGGTCATGCAAGGGTGGAAAAAGTAACCCTAACACCCCACGGCCTTTGTCTCCGCCATCCCCAGTTCCGACGTCTGCAACTGGGAGAGCTGATTGTGTGTCCAGTGAAAACATTGTGGGAATGAATGTGCAGCGCAGAGGGAGTGCGCGGGTACCTTAGGCAGATCCTCCTCCAGGGAGGACACTGAGGCCAGAGAGGGAGATATATTTGTACGGGTCACACCGCACCAGGAAAGCACACGGAGCCCGGAGGAGAAAGCTTCATCCGCCCTTGGTCTACTCTCGGCAAATTCCTAAGATGGCAGCTCAGGGTGAAATGAAAGAACCATCCAAGCTAACTGCTACCTCCTTACCACGAGGGCATCTCAGCTCAGAGCGCCTTCAGAGAGGAAGTGTGTAGGGTGAGTTTGAGCAAGTTCAAGAAGAGCATTCCAAGCAGAGGACTGTCCATGTCAAGGCTCCAAAGCAAACAGCAAGAAGCGTGGAGGAGTGGTGTGACTTCAAGCAGTTGTGCTTAAAGCATGAGGCTGAGATGGTGGAAACGGGGCTGAAGAGCGTGGGGAGGCACCCAGAGGGGCCTTGAACACTATATCCAGAGGCCTGGATGGTGCACTGTGTGGGATGAAGAGCCCTCCACTTCTCAAGGGAGGCTGTGGTGTGGGAAGGGTGGGGAGTTGGTCTCGAAGGGACAGGTGGGCCCATTGTCCAGATTTGGACGGACCACACAAAACTGGCTGCCAGCATTCCTCGCCAGGAAGCAAGGCCGTCTTTAGTGAAGAAAGTACTCTCTAAGCCTTTAAATTCTAGGGCCAGTGATCCCAACATGTTGTGAGTTTCAAATGAGATGACAGGGTGGGAGCACTTGGTAGAGTGCTCTGTCCCTGTGTCTGGAGGGCCCCAGCAGGAGCTCCATCCAGAACTCAGAGCAAAGAGCCACAAGAAGAGCAGGGCCCGTTTCCATTCAGGCCTCTCCTTCCCTCTAGGGCAGCAGGACACAGAGCCCCAAGGTTCGCACTTGACCAGCTCTGCTACTCATTAATTCATTCTTTCTTATTGAGCACCTGCTATATACAAGTACTAGGCTAGCCCTGGGGATACAGTGGTGAACAAAACAGACAAGTTTCCACTTTAATAGAGTTTATATGAGGTAAAGAGGAGAGAGAAAATAAAAAGGGAACAGAAAAATGGTAATTCCTAGTAGTAATAAGTGCTATGACAAGAATAGAACAAAGTCTATTTGTCTTTAGAAATAATAAGGCATCCAGGATGTGAGGAACAGAAATTCTGGAGAAAAAAAATGACTCAGAGAAGAAATCTCAGAATTCTGAGTGGTTTAATATTCTATCTAGGTCATTGGTAAATGCATGGGAGCGAGAGGCCAAGTAATCGATCAGAAAGAAATTGGAAGAAAAAGAGAGTCACACAGCTACTAAGTGACAGAATTAGAATTTGAACCCAGGCAGTCCAGCTCTAGAGCCCGTGCCCTTACTAGTAAAGCCCAGGTATAGAGGCAATCAGCAATAGTCAGTCCAGGAAAGCTGTGAATGATGCTGAGTTAACCCCAAACTAGGTCTGCCACTTGGGCAATATTGTCATTTATTCAGTTGCAAATAGTTTTTAGCTCATTATGTATATTTCACCATAATTTTTTAATTGAAAAAAAAATTACTGGCTCCCACTACATGCTTGGAACTGGGTCCAGCCCTGGAGATATAGCCATGAGCATGCCCTCAGGCTAATTGGGAAGACAGTCATTTAGACCAGCATTGAGTATGAATGAATGGGTAACCATTTGGGAATGTGCTTGACTGTAGTGTGAAGTTATGTACTTGTAGGCCTGAGTGGTGTGTGTGTGTGTGTGTGTGTGTGTGTGTGTGTGAATGGTTTGTTTGTTTGCTTGTGTATTTGAATGTGTCTGTCTGTTTGTGCCACTTTAAGGATAAGCATTTTGATTTCAGGCATGGAACTAGAAGCAGGATTTCCTTCCTTCCAAAAGAGTGGACAGACACACATTATGCAGGTTTAAAATAAGCACTTTTAAAAAAATTCTTTATTGATTAAAGTATAACATATGTCTCCTTTTCCCCCCATTGGCCTCTCCCCGGCCACGCCCCACCCGCAACCCCTCAGCACATGCCCTCACCCCCCTAGTGTCTGTGTCCATTGGTTATGCTTATATGCATGCATATAAGTCCTTTGGTGATCTCTACCCCTCCCCCCAGCCCTCTCCTGAGGTTTGACGGTGTGTTTGATGCTTCTCTGTCTCTGGATCTATTTTTGTTCATCAGTTTATGTTGTTCATTATATTCCACAAATGAGTGAGATCATGTGATTGTTATCTTTCTCTGATTGGCTTATTTCGCTTATCCTAATGCTCTCCAGGTCCATCCATGCTGTTTCAAATGGTGGGGTGTTCCTTCTTTTCTTACAGCAGTGTAGTATTCCATTGTGTAGATGTACCACAGGTTTTTAATCCACTCATCTGCTGATGGGCACTTAGGCTGTTTGCAAATCTTAGCTATTGTAAATTGTGCTGCCAAGAACATAGGGGTGCATATATCCTTTCTGATTGGTGTTTCTTGGGATATATTCCTAGAAGTGGGATTACTGGGTCAAATGTGAGTTCTATTTTTAATTTTTTGAGGAAACTCCATACTGTTCTCCACATTGGTTGCACCAGTCTGCACTCCCACCAGCAGTGCACCAGGGTTCCTTTTTCTCCACATCCTCGCCAGCACTTGTCATTTGTTGATTTGTTGATGATAGCCATTCTGACAGGTGTTAGATGGTACCTCATTGTTGTTTGATTTGCATCTCTGGGATGATTAGTGACTTTGAGCATGTTTTTATAAGTCTCTTGACCTTCTGTATATCCTCTTTCAGAAAGTGTCTATTTGGGTCCTTTGCCCATTTTTGATTGGATTATCTTCCATTTGTTAAGTTGTATGAGTTCCCTGTAAATTTTGGAGATTAAACCCTTATCGGAGATAACATTGACAAATGTTCTCCCATGCAGTGGGCTTTCTTGTTGTTTTGTTGATGGTTTCTTTTGCTGTGCAGAAGCTTTTTTAAAATAAGCACTTTTTAATACTTTCCATGCCCAGGGAATCCAGCAGAGAAGAAAGAGGAAGACCTCTGACTAGGGAAGGAAGTTAAGGATCCCAGTTTCTCACTACCACAGGGAGAATATCACAAATGCTGATGCTAATGGGGGAGGTTCTAAGAGCCTGTGGCCCCAGGGAATGGGTTGTTCCTCATAGAGGCAGGGTGAAGGAGTTACAGCTCAGTGATTCTCAACTGAGGTAATTTTGCTACCTAGGGGACATTAAGCAAAGTGTGGAGACATTTTTAATTGTCAAGACTAACCATCTAACCCAGTTGGCGTGATTCAGTGGTTGAGCCTCAACCTATGAACCAGGAGGTCACTATTCAATTCCTAGTCAGGGCACATGCCCAAGTTTCAGGCTCGATCCCCAGTGCGGGGTGTGCAGGAGGCAACCGATCAATGATTCTCTCTCATCATTGATGTTTCTATCTCTCTCTCCCTCTCTCTCTGAAAAAAAAAAATACTGGACATCTAGTGGGTAAAGACCAGGGATACTGTTAAACATCCTAAAACGAACAGAATAGCACCTTCACAACAAAGAATGTCCAGTCCAAAATGTCTAACCTGAGCAGTTCATGCCTATGCATGTCCAATGCCCCAGGCTACCGCTGGGAGATGTCCCTCTTTATGGAGCCAGCTGGTATAATCCTGGCTCTTCTGAAAAGGTGGACAGAGAGATAGGGCTGGGAAGCCCAGACACAACGTAAGATTTAAAATTGTTCAATAATATATAACTAAAAGCTAAGAACATAGCATTGGTGCCAGAATTCTAGTTGCAGTATTATAATCAGGTTCCATCAGCCAGCTTTAGATTTATCACATAAGGGTGCTAAATAGATGTATAAACAAATTTAATAAATTTATATAAATCAGTTAATTTATTATAAAGCAATACTACATTTAAAAGTGAGTCTAGTGGTAGAAGAAAGTGGTATTTGTTTACTGGCGGGAAAGGGACAAAAAGGGATTGTCCTGGGGACCTTGGGTCCTTTTATCAAGAAAACCCACCTGCATTGATGATTGTGTATGTGTGAACATTTACTTATTCATTCAGGAGGCACTTTCTGGGACTTTTTCCATACGGCAGGCCCTGGAGTGAAGTGGACATAGCTCCTGCTCTCAGTATTCACGTTTTAAAAGGGAGATGACACATATACAGGCAACTACAGTGATGAGTGCTAGCTGACTGAGCCAGAAACTGAACCCAGGTCCACCTTTCTGCTCTCCCACATCACCTCTGGATGTGAGGTCCTCAGTGTGTATGTCTCTCTCTGATCGTGCTGTGTGTTTGTGGGCATGTGTGATGTGTGCTAATGTATCTTTGCATCATGGGGTGTATGCATACCCATTTGTGAATATTGTGTGCTTATTCTCATGAACGTTCATGTATGTGTATGCACCCATATCTGTAAGCTCTGCGTGTTTGATTTCATTTGTGCCTCTGTGCATGTGCTTGTGTATATGTGAGAACATTGCACTCACATTTACGTGTGTACGTTGTGCTCTTGCATGTATGAGAGAAAGAATTAACTGTAGGGGAGGAGTCACACAGGTGGGCGTGTCAGGAATGTACAAGTGCATGCCTCTTCATTGGGTTGTGCATTCTGTGTTTTGTTTTTGCCACAACAGGTGTCCCTGGTGGTGAACGTGGCCAGCGAGTGTGGCTTCACAGAGGAGCACTACCGGGCCCTGCAGCAGCTACAGCGGGACCTGGGGCCCCACCACTTCAATGTGCTTGCCTTCCCCTGCAACCAGTTTGGCCAACAGGAGCCCGACAGCAACAAGGAGATCGAGAGTTTTGCCCGCCGCACCTACAGTGTCTCCTTCCCCATGTTTAGCAAGGTCGCAGTGACTGGCACTGGTGCCCATCCTGCCTTCAAGTACCTGACCCGTGAGTCCTGATCCTTCCCCTTGCCTTCCCTCAGTTGGCTGAGGCCATGGCTCCCTGGGCAGCAGAAGCCACTAGCTGACTGGGTGACCTGGGGCCCTTTCCAGACCCCCTCAAATGGGTTGATGGTCTGTTCCAGCACTAATCTTTGAGGATGAGCTGAGGGGTATTCCTGCCTAAGAATATCTTATCCCTGCTACCTTTCACCGCCCCCGCCCCCCAGCCACTCTTGCAGACATCTCTCTGGGATCCTGTTTTCATATGCAGGGCCCTCAGATTTTAGCCAGTGTGAATTAGTTGGACTGAGGCTGGAGAAACTGAGGAGCAGACAGGGAAGGGATGCCGCATGCCTGGAGAAGGCTGACAGGCATTTCCGGTCCTGAGTCAGAGTCAGAATCTATTGGCCATGGGAGAGAAACCTGAGCTAAAATACCAGATCTCAGTATTTAGAAATAGATCCCTTCTCCAGCCCCAGAAGCCTCAAAGTTGCAAAATGGGGTCATGGGCCACGCTGGTCATTATGGTCCCGTTTCCTCCCTGGGGCCCCTCTCCTGGACTCCATCTTTGCCTTCTCCCACTCCCTGCTTCCGGTTGCCTTCTTATCCCTCCCCACCCCCCACCCACCCTTTCACCTGGAGAAGTCAATGAGAAACAACAGTGAAGCACACAAAAGGCCCCTTGCTGAGGCAGATTGGAATTTTGCTCTGTAGGTCAATCCTAATATTTACTTTTTCCCCCCTGTGTGTTTTTATTAGTTCCTTCCCAGTTTACCATAGTTATAGATCAAACCTGGCCCTGCTTTGGAAGCACCTGGGGAGCTCTTAAAAATGCATTAGCCTGAAACCTAATGAAGCAGAGCCCAAGAATCTGTTTATTTTATGCACCCCTCACCACCACCACCACGATTCAGATGCAACCAGTCCGTGAACATTTGGAAACCATTTAGATTTCATTAGAGAATAGGGTGTAGACTGTTCAGTAGTTTGAGATCATTAATAAAGGAAGAACTAATACTGCTTTATCAAACACTTCACAGAATCCTAGAGCAGTGGTTCCCAACTTTGGTACCACATTAGCATCTCCTGGAGAGCTTTTTGAAAAATACTGATGCCTGAATCTAGAGATTCCTACTTAGATGGTTTAGGGAGGTGGACTGGGCAATCAGGATTTTTAAAACCCTACAGTTAATTCTAATTAATAGAACCACTGCTTCAAGGGAAGAATGGACAATGATAGTGGAACTCCAGGAGAGGGTACACAGGGAAGCACACACTTTGCTCTCCTTCTTTGTTTTGTTCTAGAAACTTCTGGAAAGGAGCCCACTTGGAACTTCTGGAAGTACCTAGTGGCCCCAGATGGAAAGGTGGTAGGGGCTTGGGACCCAACCGTGTCGGTGGAGGAGATCAGACCCCAGATCACGGCACTTGTGAGGAAGCTCATCCTGAAGAAGCGAGAAGACTTATAACCACTTTCCCTCCTCTCCCACTGACCCTTCCTCCCTCCCCCCTCACCTTCCATGGGTAACCAAAGCAAATTCAAATGGTGCTTCAAAGGAAGAGACTATGACTCTCCTTCATCACACCTACCCCATCACTCCTGTGGGGGGAGAATTCTAGTATTTTGATCATTTGAATCTTAGATCAACCTATAGGAACTCCTAGCCCATGACAGCTCTTGATCAATGAATCACCAGCCAGTAAGAACTTCTAGTCCATGAAAACATGTGGCAAATAGAAGTATATCGAGCAATAATCTCCTGTCTATTAAGAACTCGATAAAACGGGGCCAATTCCTACCTCACAGGGCTGTTGTGAGGAGTAATGAATGAGCTGTGAATGTGCCTAGAGCAGTGACAGCTCAAGAGGAGGCATTTAATAAATGTTTTTTTGCATATAAACCAAAAAAATAACTTGTGATTAATGAAAACTTGCACCCAACATGAATTTCCAGCCAATGAGAATCCAAGCCAAACATTTATTTGTTGTTGTTTTCCTCTGTATTATTTTTTTAATTACAAAAGTAATTTAAATTCATTGTAGATAATGCAGGATGTCATGATAAAATGAAAATGTACCCCTCATTTTCTATACTCTCACTCCCTGGAGGTAAACATTGTGAGTAATTTGGTACAAAGTCTTCCAAACCTTTTTTTTTCATCAAGCTAATCATTAGGACTCAATAGAATTCACTGACCGAAAGTACCTAAAACAACAGTCAAAAGATATGAATAGATAATTCACAGAATATAGATGGATAATAAGGATATGAAAAGATAACCAACTTCATTCAAGTTAGAAAGATTTTTTAAATGATCCTACCCATTGTTAAGGATGTAGGGAAATGGGAATTTATATAACTATTGTTGGGACAATAAACTGGCACAAGTTTTTGGAGGGTGATTTAGCATATCTTTTAAAACAAAGTGTTCATGGCTTAGTAGATAAAGCATTTGCCTGCAGACCAAAGGGTTCCGGGTTCGATTCTGGTCAAGGGCACATACCTAGGTTGCAGGCTCCTCCCCTCCCCAGCCCAGACCCTGGTCAACGCTTGTGCAGGAGGCAACCCATCGATGTTTCTCTCTGTCTTTCCCTCTCTCTTCCACTCTGTCTAAAAAAAAAACAACGGAAAAATATCCTCAGATGAGAATGAACAACAAAAATAAAACCAAACAAACAAAAAAGAGTATTCATACCCTTTGATCCATTATTCATCCTTTTAGAAGACTCCCAAACTATGCAAATATATATGTACAATAATATGTTCGTAATAGTGAAAATTGAATGTAACCCTTGTGCCCATCACAACTTATTACCAACCCATAAATTATGATACAAATCCAAATGATACAATAATATAGTTACTAAAATTAATGAATTAGATTTCTATATGCTATCATAAAAGTTGTCCAAAAGTGAAAAAAGGGCAAGTTGCAAAACAGAATGAACACATTCACACACACACAAAAATCCAGTATAAAGTATAATATTTTTATTAAAAAATTACAATGTTAAGTGAGAGAAGGGGGGAGGAATATAGACCAAACTATTAATGGTGGTTGTCCATGAAGGGGTGAGTTGGGATAACAGGAGTCATTCACTTTTTTTGTTAAGTATTATTGTAATGTTTGAATTTTGAATATAAAATATATTTTTTAGTTTTATAAAATACTAGGGGTCTAGTGCATGAATTCATGCACCTTGAAAGGAACTGTGGGCTGCAAGGCTGCAATGGGCATAGGGGCAGGTCTCGGCTGATCCTCCGCTCCCCCGCCTGGCCCCTCCCGCCGTGGCCCCTGGTCCCCTGTCTGCCAGCAGCCCCGCTCCTGCCAGCCCTGCTTGCACCTGCTGATGGCGCGGAGTGATTGAGGCAGGCGCCAGCAGCGGGTGCGAGTGGCGGCTCTGGCACCGGCAGTGGGTGCGAGCACCAGGCGGGACCGCGGCATGCGGGAGCAAAGAATTTTCAGTAACCACCAGAGGCTCACCCCGATGACAGGACCAGCGCCCCGCCTTGGTCTGGTGCCCCTGCTCACCTGCACCACCATCCCGCCCTGGCCGACACCTCCCTTGTTCTGCGCTCTGCCACCTGCTGCCGATGCCTGCCATGTTCCGTGCATGGCCCCTGGTGGTCAGTGCACATCATAGCAACTGGTTGTTCAGTTGTTCAGTTGTTTGGTTGTTCCACTGTTCGGTCTATTTG